CCACCAAGTATTATAAGGAACTTCTACTAAATTCGATTCGAAACATACAAAAGCACTAAATGTACCTTCTTTTCAAACCAAGCTTTATGTTTAGGGCAATCTTTCTAATAGTGTCCTTTATTTTTTACAGAAACGACACACATCAGCCTAGAGTTCCTTATGAGCATCCTGTGGAAATTTTGGAGGTGCTTTGTTTTTCTTAAACATGTTGGCCTTCACTTTAAGTTCTTTACCAGCTCCTTGACCCATGAGGTTAATGGAATAACCTCCTTATTTCTTAAGTTTTGACTCCTCTTGAGTAAGCATACTGGACAATTCACTAACATCGCACTTATCCTTAATAGTGTTATAGTTAATTTGGAATGGTCAATACTCAAGAGGCAATGAGTTCAGAATAAACTTAACCAAGAAGGTGTCATCCACTTTCATCCCCAAGGTCCGAAGTCTTGATGAAATGTTAGTCATTTCGATGATATGATTTTGCATATTGTGTGACCCATCAAACTTCATGGTCGTGAGTTCAGCCCCTTTAGTGTACAAACGAGAGATTTATCTGCATAACGAAAACGCTGTTCCACAAAATTCAGGTATTCCCTAGCACTTTCTGTTTGTGGAATAGTACTCTTAATGTTGTTACCATCAATCATTCGCATGAACATAAGACTCAATCTGTTAGAGCGCTCCCATGATCTATGAAAAGACTTCTCATCCTTACTGCTCTTATGAGTAATGGCAGTAGGTTTGTCATTCCACAGAGCCAAGTCAAGATCCATCACACCTAAGTGGAATTGGACTTGTTCATGCCATTCAAATAAGTTCAATCCATTGAACACAGTAACAGACGAAGCATTCTATGAAAAGACTTCTCATCCTTACTGCTCTTATGAGTAATGGCAGTAGGTTTGTCATTCCACAGAGCCAAGTCAAGATCCATCACACCTAAGTGGAATTGGACTTGTTCATGCCATTCAAATAAGTTCAATCCATTGAACACAGTAACAGACGAAGCATGCAAATGAAGAGGAATAACTGCAAAATAGATATACATGCTCACAAATCAGATAATAATGTGAATTTAGTAAAAGGATAAAAATAAATCATAATTCTCCTTTGGGTAGATACTACGACACACTATCATAATTTAAATGCCATTTTTATGTTTAATAGGTAATTGAATATTTTTAATCAACTATATAGGAAATCTTTGGATATATAATATATGTTTGACTAAACAATATTAACTTACCTCATAATTTTCACTATTCATAGAATGATAGATTCACCTTTTGGGTAAATTCTTAAGTTCTAGTAATAGTGAAAGTTAATTTATCTATTTATTTATCAATATAGGCATTTAATTAATCTTCATAGATAAATGATAATTTTATGAATGCATATTTTTCTTAACCACACTAGTTTGGTAACTTTGGTGACTAACAAGGTATATGAATACAAATGCACACATAATATCATAAAATTTTGTGCATGTGAATAATTTTATACATTTTAATTTGTCCACTTTTGTGACTAACAAACTATAGAAACATAATACATGCATCAAGTGATCATAAATATTATATGTGTAGACGTTAATTTCTCTAGTTTGGCCACTTTGGTGACTAACAAACTATTTTTGCACAAAGTACACACATATTATTTATTGCTTAGTATAATGACCATTTTAAATTATTGCACAATTTAAAAACAAAACATAATTATTACATTATGGGAAGATTAAGATATTTCAGAATTTGTGGAAATTAAACTTTGCTAACAACACTTTATTAACATAAGAATCCAAACACCTTAAATAGTCAAGCACAAAATTACGCTACAACAAAAGGATTCAACAATAAGTTTGTATATAATTTGATGGGACAAAATTAAATTTACAAAAAATTTCTTATTAAAAAGTGTTGCTAATCATAAATTATTAAAATAACAAATAATAAATTGCGAGTAATATTGAAATTCTTATTAACTAATTAGATTATTTATACATGTGTATTAGATTCCTAGCCATTAATGTTAATAATGACTCGAAACAACTCAAGGTCATATATAATTTTATGTGGAATCAACATAACCATTAGGCATAAGGTTAAACGGACTCGTGACAAAATAAATAAATAAATATTTACTTATTTCAATTAATTGTAGAAGATTTACGAAGATTATCCATTCAAACAATCGAGGCTCTAATGCCACATGTAAGATTAAATACTTTAATACATAATATCAGGATTTTGAACACGATAATCTTACATAGAGATCGTTAGGGGTACATACCTGATGCGGAAGACATCATCACAGAGAGAAGCAGAAGCGTTAGTAGTAAATTGGTTTCTACCTCCTTGCCCTAGCCTTACGTTTCCACAATCGTTAGCGATGGAATTATTGTAGAGAATATGTGGTAACCTTAATAGGTGGAGGGAGGACCAATTTATAGAGGTTAAGACTTAATCTGGTACATCCATCATGTAACCAATGTACGGATAAAATCTATTTTCATTAAATATTATTTATGGTATTGCTTGGGTTACAAGTTTACTTGGGCCATAGGTAAGAAATGATTAATAATTCTTACACATAAAACACGATTATAAGAGAACATGAGTAAAACATGATATGCATGACCAAGATAAAACATAGTAAAACCTTTTAAAGAAGAATCATAAATAATGAACATGGTAAATGAATCTTAAGCTCATAATGAAAGGTTCATATAACCTTTGAATCTATAAGAAAAGCTTAGAGTCTATAGTAGAGGTATCACAACCTTTACAACAGATTCCCAAACCTTCCCCTATATATCCCAAAAGGATCAAGAAAAGAATCTGATGATGGAAAGTTCTTAAAATTTATATACATGTTTCGTCAGCTAACATTCAATATTCCATTGGTGGAAGCTTTGGAACAGATGCTAGGTTACGCGAAGTTCATGAAGGACTTAGTGACAAAAAGAGGGCGACAAGTTTTGAACCTGCATATAATGTTCACTATTGTAGTGCTGTTGCTACAAGGTCCTTGGTACACAAAAAAGAAGGACCGAGGTACATTTACCATACCATGCACTATTGGTGCATTTGAGTTCACCAAAGCTCTGTGTGACTTGGGAGCCTGTATCAATCTGATACCATCGGAGATATACAAGAAACTGGGTTCAGGAATTCCAAAGCCTACTACTATGAGACAAATGATGGCGGATATGTTAGTTAAGAGGCCCATCGGTATTCTCTTTGATGTATTAGTAAAAGTGGAGAGTTTCATCTTTCTTACTGACTTCGTGATTTTAGACTGCGATATGGATTTCGAAGTTGCCATAATTCCTGAAAGGCTATTCATGTCCACTGGAAGAGAATTGGTTGATGTAGAGAGCAGTGAGCTAAAGTTTAGGCTGAATAAAATGAAGAGGTTAAAGTCAAAGTATGAAAAGAGTTTCCATGAATTGAAGGATAGACTTATTTTCGCTCTTGTGTTGACTTTACTGGAAGGAACTGGTGATTTTGTTGTTTATTGTGGCTCTTCAAGACATGGGTTAGGATGTGTCCTTATGCAAAATGGGAAAATCATTTCCTATGCCTCAAGGAAACCTACGGTGCATGAGAAGAACTATCCTACCCATGATTTAGAACTAGCAGTAGTTGTGTTTACTTTAAAGATTGGAGGCATTATTTGTATGGTTTTCATGCAGGTGTCTTTACCAACCACAAGAGTTTGCAATATGTGTTTAAACAGAAAGATCTAAATATTCTCCAAAGAAGGTACCTTGAGTTGTTAAAGGATTATGATATGAGTAATCTCTACCACCCCGTTAAAGGAAATGTGGTGGAGAATTCTCTTAGTCAGTTATCGATAGGCATTGTTGCTCATATTGAGGATGATAAAAAATAGTTGGTTCGAGATGTTCATAGATTGGCCAGGGTGGGTGTTCGGTTAGTTGACTCTACCAAAGGTGGTGTTATGGTTCATAATGGTTCAGGATAATCTTTTGTAGCAGATGTGAAAGCCAAGCAAGTTCTTGATCCGACTTTGGTTGAATTGAAGGTAGTGCTACTTAAAAAGTATGTAGAAGCTTTCTCCCAAGGGGGAGATGGAGTGCTTAGATATCAAGGTCATTTGTGTCTTCCCAATGTACATGACTTGAGAGAGCAGATCTTTTTAGAATCCCATAGTTCTTGATATTCCATTCATTTAGGAGCCACAAAGATGTACTGTGACTTGTGGGAGGTCAATTGGTAGAATGGGATGAAGAACGATATTACAAAATTTGTGACTAAATGTCCCAATTGTCAACAAGTGAAAGTTGAGCATCAAAAGCCATGAGGTTTGAATATGGACTTCATTGTTGATTTACCACGCATGCGGTGACAACGTGATTCAGTTTGGGTTATAATAGATCGTATGACAAAAATAGCTTATTTCATTCCCGTCAATGTTTCTTATTCGGCGGAAGACTATGCTAAGTTTTACTTGAGAGAAATGGTTAGGTTTCATGGAGTGCCCCTATCCATTATCTCCTATTGTGGTACCCAAATCACTTCTTAGTTTTGGAAATCCTTACAAAAACGTCTTGATACTCGTGTTAAACTTAGTACGACCTTTCACTGCAAATCGATGGGCAAGTGGAGCGTACTATCCAAACTTTGGAAGATATGTAGAGAGCTTGTGTAATTGGCTTCAAGGGTAATATGGATGATCATTAGCCCTTGATCGAGTTTGCATACAACAATAACTGTCATTCATGCATTAGTATGTATCCATTTGAGGCTCTATATGGTAGGAGTTGTAGATCTCCTATAGGCTGGTTGTAAGTTGGGAAAAGTTGCTTTGATAGGCCCCGATTTGGTGCATGAGGTTATGGATAAGGTTTGGCTTATTAGAGAAAGGTTGAAACGGCTCAAAGTCGGCAAAAGTCCTATGCCGATGTTAGAAGGAGATACCTTGAGTTTGATGTTCATGATTGGGTCTACTTGAATATATCACCCATGAAGGGTGTGATGTGGTTTGGGAAGAAAGGGAAGTTTAGTCCCCGTTACATGGGCTCATATAAGATTTTGAGGTGTATTGGCAAAGTTGCTTATGAACTCGATTTGCCTAATGACTTGGCATTGGTACATTCAGTTTTCCATGTCTTCTTGTTGAAGAAATATGTTGGAGATCCAACATCCTTAGTTCCCTTAGAAGGTTTGGGAGTTAAGGGGATTCTTTCTTATGGGGAAGTTCTGGTTGAGATTTTAAACCGGCAAGTTAAGAAGTTGAGAGACAAGGAAGTTTCTTCAGTAATGGTTCTTTGGAGAAATCATTTGGTTAAGAGTGCTACTTGGGAGGCCGAGGCCGATATGAACTCTCGTTACCCTCATCTCTTTCCCTCCATCCCTACTCTAGCTTGAGGTATTCAGTCCCTCATGGTTAACTCTATTGGTTTCACGTGTCTTAGATATTCCCATGATTCCTCATTTATGCTTGTTCTTGAAAACTTGATTTTTGAGAAAATGTGTTAGCTTGACAAATTTATTCATGTCTGTGTGCATTTGAGTATGAGTTGCATATAGACTTCATGATATGATGTTTTAAACATTGTTTATGTTGGAGTTGATGTTGACTCCTTAGATATGTGCATTTATGTGATTGCATTCATGTTGGACTGTTAGGTCAAGTTCCTACCCTCCTTATAATGTCTTGAATCTCATTCGAGGAAGAATGTTTCCAATAGAGAGATAATGTAAAACCTTGGGTTAGAGAAAGGCTAGAAAGAGGTTAAGTCGATAGGTCAAAAACACAAAAGTGAGCCATGGAACCCTCCATAGAGCCTTAGACGGGCCGTGTAGGCGACCACGGTCCATTTGGCTACTTGTGGTCAGTACTAGAACCTGACCCAGGCAGGTGTCCCTCACACGGACACGTAGGCAGCCCATGGTGAGGTTGATGGACCGTCCAAGGGGTCGCTAAATGGTCCACTCAGATTAGGGTCACTCCTCTAGTAACAGGTTAAGGACCAGGAACGTCTAAACGACCTATGAAGCCTCACATGCACCGTGAAGTCATTCTTGTAGGGGATTTATCAGACTTAGAGTTTAGGGTCAAATTCAAATGATCAGTTCTTTCAACACAAAATGAATTAGGTTGCCCATGACCTATCAGAGTAAAGATAATTGAGTCCTCTTTCCAACGCCACCGAGTTTTCCTACTTCTAAGCTCAGAATAAAAAGTTATGCCCAAAACAGTAAGCCCTTTCAGGCAGAGCATCTTCACGACCCACATGACGGGTCATTGTGCTCTAGACGACAGTTGAAGACCTTCCAGTTAGTCCATTCGGTAGCTTTTAGTCAGGGTCATTCCAGTCTTTTCCTAATTATTTTAACTCAATACTACATCGTTTTAGCTTCTACCCAACGACCTATATAATGATTTTTAGCCTCAAAATCTCTTAATTTATTTGATTCTCTCAAATTTTCAAAAGAAGATGAAGTCATCCTCTCAAATATTTCTCCCTCTAAAGTTTGAAGAAGAAGGATAGGGTTTCAAGCCAAGTCTCCAATTCCAACATCAATTTCAAGGTTTTTGCATCAAGGTATGATAGTATTCACCTATGGAGTTCATTCCTCCATAGGGTTCCTAAATTCTCTAATTTTGCAATGTAGAATCTCCAATTAAAGTTAGGGTTTTTACTCAATCTCATGGGTTCTTTTCAATTATGATATTATTGATTGATTTATGTCTTTTTATGCATGAATTGAATAAATTGCATGTTTCATAGTTGAATCCACATGAACCCATGTGAAATCCCTGTTTTCTAAAATTAATCATATGATGAGCTTTTGAATCATAAAGTATAAGGTTATGAAGATAATGTATGTTCTTTATGAAATTGATGAAAAAATATTTAAGTTACTTTGAGAGTAAAGCATCCATGTTATTGTTGTGTTGTGAAAGGATTTCTCATATACACAAGAAGGCATGATTGTGAAAGGTTTTCTCACATAAAGAATTCTTAGAGTTGAAAGGTTTTCTCAATTTAACTTTTAATCAAGATTAAGGAGCTGTTCGAAAGAAACCTAGCTTGGATTGGTTGCTTAATTGTACCTTTCCATTGATGATAATATGATATTAGCTTGGATTGGTTACTTAATTGTGTCTTTCGCTGGATAATGAGAAAAATTAAGATAAATTAGATGGAAGCTCTCCCGTAGCTAGAGGCCGGCTTTCTAGTAGCAATCTCCTTGTCCCATACCTATGTGCCCCCATAAGATGATGTCCTAGATAGACATTAGCTAGTGGATCCATGTAAGCTAGAAGTTCATGGTCTTACCTTGGCAAGTAGGACACCCCTTTTCGGTGTGGGAGAGATACCAGATTCCATGTTAAAGGTAAATCTCCCACCAAAATGACTAAGGTTACTTCTAGAAGTATCTCACAATAGTTTTAAAGATGTTAGCTTGAATTTTCCATGTTTTATGATTTATGTTTTCTAACCCTTTTACCTCATGTTTTAGCTTGGTCATTGCATGCCATGAAAAGGTTCTTTTAGCATAATTTCATACATTTATGCATTGATATCATACTAAGTACATTTTTGTACAAATGCATACTCTTGCCTACATTCTTTTAAAAATGTAGGGTTCGATGCTCCAATTACGCATCCCCGTGGCTAGAGTTAACTATAGTAGGTTTGAAGATTTGTGAGTCCTCATGTTCCGAGGATCAAGCTTTATTGCTTATTGTCTTTACTTATTTGTCAGTATTGTCTATGATGTATGGGTTATGTCCCGATCACTCTTGATGTACTAGATGGCTTTGACTCTATGTTAGCCTTCCTCTACATTTTATAAACTCTTATGTTTTGAAATTGTCTTCTAAAATCTTTTGATTTTCTATTATCTTGTTAAATGTATGCTAAGTGGCTTGTTTAGGGCCTCTCGAAGTCCTATATGCCATGTTACACCTTGGGTATACTTTGGATCGTGACATGCACACCCTCACAAGGTAGTAACAAAAGATTATGGATATTTGGTTTCCCTCTTTGTATTGTTGCCCAAGATCATGTGTCACATTCACCAAGATTGAAACAATTGGATTAACAATGCAAATTTTAGGACTCCACATACATGAATTCAAGCAAGACCTTACCACACATTACACTTTGTAACATACTCATTTAGCACATCCCGAAGAGACCAAAAATGTTCATGCGATGTTCATTGCAAGGCTCATATCAAAACATATCTAGTAAACAAAATATTCAAAGAGATCGCGAAAGAGTTCAACCATATTGATTTCATTTTCGAAACACAAACACTTTACATAATGCTCATCATGAGTACTATCGCTACAAAAAAATATTTTTTAACAAAAGAATATAATTCCGGTAAGCATAAGTATATTTATAAAGTCAAAAAAATTCCAATCGCTAAAAGACAATTTTAATGTACTATTAGTAAAGCAACAATATCCATACCTCAAAAAAGGTTTATACCCAGTCGTTAATAATAAAAAAATTGGTACATATTTTTACTTTCCCTTTTTAGCCTCCACAAAGGACTTATTACTCCCCTCTATCACCACCACCCCTTACTGTTGTTCTCCTATTACCCCTACCACCTACTTCTGGTCTCCCATTACCCCCTCCCCTCCGTAAGAAAACATAACCAAGAACTCTACTCGATTTTTCAGCAGACACAAAGCACATGCATACCCACTCCCCCACACCTCTGAAAAGATACATATGTTTCTACACCAGAACATGTCTCCATCTACTCCACTAGAAATAGAGATACGTAAGGGAGTGAATAACTCAAATCCTTAATTAGAGCGACTCTTAAGTTCCAGGGCAGAACTAATTTGTTGGAGAAAAATCAGCAAAACAGACCACAATAATGGTGGCACTATTCCTCCAGGTTTGTTTGCAAAAATTAAGCTATAGCTCTCTGTTGAAGGTCTTTAAAAAGGAAATCCATGTGTATTTTTTTCTAATTGAATAAGTCGGATTTTTGTTTTTACTTCAAATTTTCAGAAGAGTTTTGCTAGTCTTTCCTACGTGTGATAGTAACTTGACATATTCTAGGACTTTCCTTCTCTTCAAAGTAAGTTTCGGTTGTTTTGACTATGAATTGTTATGTGGAAATTCTAATTTTGACCAATTTTGAGTTTATGATGTATGATTCATTAGTTATTCAGTAGGGTTTCGGTGCACATTGTCATGCCCTGAGGGTACCCCCTTGACGTAACACGGGTCCTAGGGTCACGAGTGACCCCAAGCTAATATTGAGTCTGACATATATCAAGCATACTAAAAAACTGAGTAAAACATATACTATGCGAAAGCTAAAACAGTGGATATCTTAACTGGGGAAAAGCCCAACTAGTCTGAATATATAAAACATACTAAGAGTTTAGTGATAACTGAAACAACCACTTAACAATCAAGCTGAATCTACTACTATGTCTGAAAAGCCTCTAATGAATTGAGTTGTTGGGACATGCCCCAGCGAACTCTACCAAAACTTAGATTTGAAAGTAGAGACTGAAATGGAAAGCATGTCTATTGTCCTCGAAATATGAGGACTCACTACTGAAGCTGTTGAAGTCGAACTGAGAATTGATCTAAGCATCATCTGGATGCTCAATGCCTCAACCTACATCATGAAAGGATGTAGCGCAGATTATACATTAGTACTTGGAATGTACTGAGCATGCATGATATAGATATGCTACTCTTAACAAAGTATATAAGTTAAACAATGCATAACTGAGCTATGCCATAGTTTTAACAAGGATATAAATATGTACTGAAGCATAACTAAAAGATAAACAGAATGCAATGACCAAGTACTTATCATGAAGATTACATGTTGAACTGTATATTGAAGTAACCACTGGAAACCTAGTCAATGCACTAAGAGTCTGACTGTGGGAGCTACTATTAACTGACATAAACCACGTGAGCTAAACGAGGAGTCTGATGTATACTCCCCATCTAGAGGACCCTATATACCTTGTCAGGGGTATAGAGGCATGATTGTGGTGTGATCACTAAAACTGATGTCCAACAAAGGGACTTATAATCCTATGCAGGCACGTAGTTCTGGGACTATGAGGGTACGTTGAACCCTAGTCCAACTGGGTGCTAAGTCTAAATACATATGAAGCTAAAATGCACTAACTGTTGAATAACTCAAAATACTGACATGATAACTAAGAATGCAACATTTATATAATGAGAATGTGACATTCGAAATATGGAGCATGATTTTCTGTTTAACTGACCTAGCAAGTATAATTCATGAACTAAGAGAATTTACACAAACTAGGGTTCTGAGTTTTATAAAAGGATTTATGCAGTGTTTCCAACAAAACATGTTATTTAGTCTATGGATTCTATAGTAGCTCAACA